CACAGCCGCCAGATCGGCGGTGTATGCGGGGAGCAGCGACGATCTTCGCCACCGGACGGAGGATAGATGCAGCTCGGAGAGCTCGGAGCATGCGCAGAGAATGTGCAAGAGGTCTGTTCCGTCGAAGCGGACATTTTCCAACCGCAGTCGTTTGACCACGCGGAAGTACGTGGACAGCTTTTCGCGAGTGTCCTCGGACATCTCGAACATGGCGCCGCCGAAGTTGAGGGCCAGACGCTCGATCTCGTGCAACCGCGGCAGGATGGGCGGCAGTTCGGGGTGGTCCACGTCGGGATCGATCGTGACGGTCAGTTCGCGGACGCTGAGTGCGACGTGGGGGGAGTGTTGCAGCAGCTCGACGAAGCGGACGTATTCCGATTGGCCCGGGCCATGGGCGAGGCGGATGGTGTGGAAGACAAGACGGCGGACGACGGGGAGGAAATTATGACAAGTCAAAGCACAGGCAGCGAGGGCGGGGCGGTCGTCTCGAAGGCAGTGGAGGATGTCCTCCCATATTTCTGGAGGTAGAGTTGGTGTGCTGGGCCTTGCGGCCCTCGTGGCCACAGGTGCAGCCCACTAGTGGACGGCATCAGTTGAGATCAGGGAGTCGTGTCATGGAGAGAATGCGTACGGTCGTTCTTGATCGTCCTCGTGGAGGATGGGCAATCCAAGTGATAAGCCGTCTGAAGGAGCGAAAGAGTCGGGGTAAGCGGGGGCGACGCATTACGTGGAGGGAATGGGTGCCCACTGTCACTGCCGTGCTTCGAGGGCCTATAACAGGGCGAGCAGTGTCGGTAGACGCGGAATAGGCTCTGGGTGGCCTATCGACCGAGGAATCTTAGGACGGGCTAGGATGATGGTTGTCCTCAGCTGTTGGCATATTGGGTTTCGCCCGGGATGTGAATGTGACGGGGCCGGAGTACGGGGGAGAGTGCGCCACCAACTCATGGAGTGGGAGAGGGCGTCTTGGAAGCAGATGAGCGCGTGGACGACGGGCAGCGAGGCGCGAGGACTCGGACAACGAGGACGACGATGGCGAGCCGACGGGCGAGGGCGAGGGCGGGGGTGCTGACTAAGCAATGGCCGCAAATAGCACAGGGCGCGCGGCGTGCTGAGGGCAGGCTGCTTGCAAAGAGCATGGCCGTGACCTGACGTCCTTCCCACTGGCCCAAGCTCCTGACGGCGTGGGCCATCCCCGCCATCCGCTCCCTACCCCCGCCACCATGTCTCCCCTGTCCCCCGCCCGCCTCGCTGTCCTCGCCGCGGTCTTCTCATGGGCTGTCCTCGCCGCAAACGCCCAGGGGGGTGGAAGCGGTCAGCCAAACACAAGCTTGGCGATGTGAGTGATCCCGTTGCGACTCGGAGGACCCGCTCGTGCTGAGGTCGACCCTGTCGCCAGGATCATCCTCTACGCCATCACCGGCTGTGTCTCTGCTCTCTTCTGCATAGTCATCGTTTCCGGCGTACGTCCGCTCACACTCGTTATATCCGCACCTCCTCACCCCCCACAGGCCATCCGCGCCATCCGCCACCCCGAGCGCTACGGCCCCCGCCCGGGTGACCCCAACTACGGCGCCCCCGCCCAGAGCCGCGCCCGCGGTCTCACCCGCGCCATCCTCGACACCTTTCCTGTCGTCAAATTTGGCGGGGACCCCGCCGCGGTCCCCCCGAAGGACGTCGAGAGTCCCTCGGAGGAAGGCGACGACCTCGAGCACGACCCACGCACAGGAAGGACGATGGAGCTCCGCTCGTGGGAGGTCGTACACGACCCCAACACGGGTGAGACCCGCACAACACGGTATGGCGCGCCAGACGAGGCCGCCCCACAGGTGGATGCTGCCCCGCTGCACGAAGACGATATCGTGGCGCAGGCCCAGGGCCTCGAAGGGGACGAGTCCTCGTCCCCCCGTGCGGGCTCATCCAGGGCTGATGCGGCACTCACGGTGCGACCACGCCTGCGCCTGGGGCGGACAGCAGACGGGGGCGTGGCGGCCGAGGCGAGAGGCGGCGCCGCGGGTGTGGGTGCGGGCGACAAAGAGATTGTGCCGGACGCTATAGGCCGTGAGACGTGCCCTATCTGCATTGTCGACTTTGAGGAGGGCGACGACCTGCGGGTGCTGCCATGCGAGGGGCACCACCGGTTCCACTGCGAGTGTGTCGACCAGTGGTTGCTCGAGCTCTCGAGTAGCTGTCCAATTTGCCGGCAGGGTAAGTGTTGCGCCACCTGTGTCATTTGCTTCCTGCTGCCTTCTGATTCCCATACACGTTTTTGTGGTTCGTGACGCTCATTATCTTCCTTTGCATTGCAGACTTCCAAGCACTCGAGACGATGATGGCTGGCAACTCGGATCCCCTCGAACCACCACACATGCCTGGGGCCGCACGCCCGTTATCGACAGCTGCAGCGCGGTTCTCGCGGTATCTGCGCTTTGCACGACGACGGCACGACCGACGCCAGGAGGACGGCAGTGGGTACGACATTACGGATCCGCCGATGCCCATCGCGCCCGAGATGCATTTCTGAATTCGCGGGCTGCCTGGCGCATGTCTACGTGTAGCTGATGTATGATAACTGCTGCAGACCTGGTGTGTTGTGCTTACTCCGTATGTTGTGCTTACTCCCCTATTCTCTGTTCTCGCCAACCCATGTTCTTCTCCTGCTCACCCGCTATGTATTTCCCGTTCGCTTGCCGGGTCTGTTGCTTGTTGTTCTGTCTGCATGTAGCTGATGTGTGTTTCTGGATGCTCCGGTAGTGTTGTAATAATAGTGGTATTAGTATTGTAACGTCAATATACGGATAAGCTGTGCCCCGTGCCGTTGTAGCGAGTTGTAGCGCCAGCTTGGTGTTATCGGACATGCGATGGCGGCTGCCTCTCCCGTCCTGCACGGAGATAGGCCGGCGAAGTCTCTAGCACTCATGTAACTCTTACTATCAGCGCGCCATACTGTCGCAGCGAGCCACTGTGCTTCCATTCTGAAGCACAGGGAATCGGGGAGACGAGCAACTTGATGCGGCCGCTGGCAGGGCTGTCGCACGTTGCCATGCAGTCGCAAGACTGTGGTCGCTGCCTGCGGAGCGGCTGATGGGCCTCAAATTTCAATGTCGAAGTTCGACGCCGCCGCGCGCTGTCTGGAATTTGTAAAGGCATAAATCGGTATCGACAGGTTGAAGCTCGCAGACGCACAACAACTTCTTCCATCCCCGACGTGGATACGGTTCGCCGACTGTGACCGGTATAGTGCACGACCCAGTCTGCTCTCCGTTCGAAATCGACGCTGATGTCTCCCCTGTAATACCGCAGAGGCGCGGTCACACGCGGATGCTTCGGAAAGTCATCTGGGAGTTCTGGCTCTCATGGCGGCACGGAGATGTCTACCCGGAATGTCGCATGCGCAGCGCCGTCGTCAGCACAGATGGAGATATGTTGCGTGGCCGTCAGCGGAGTTCTGCCTGGTCGTTCTTCGCCCCCGTGTTTGAGATCTCGTAGTACGTACCCAGGAGCGCATATAACGAAGCAATACCCTTGGGGCTGGAAGAATTTCTCAGTGGTTAGCCGGTGGGAAGTCTACAGACATACGTACTATATGTGCGCAGGGCCAGCGTACGTGACCGTGCATTGTTCGCGTGAAGCCCGGGGGAAGGCCTTCAATTGTTTGGACTGCCGTGAGTGACCGGTGACCAATCAACTTGAACCACTGGGCTCCAGTCGTTGACCTGACAGTGAGACAGTATTGAAGACGTCAGACATGACTCGGGACCATCGAGTCAGCTGACCGGAGGGGGCAGGTTGGAGCAAGGACGATGACGCGCAGGTCGCCGCCCCATCCTCAGCCCGCTGCACCTCTTGCCAAAATAGGAAAAAGACTTGCCGCATATGGCAAGCTGGACGTCGGGGTGGCATGACGTCCTGGCGTTGCTGTTCGCCATGACACGCGCCGCGTCATCGACGGCCACCTCGCAGGTGGGGCCGCCTCCCGTATAAAAGGCCTCGTCGCAGAGCAACGACAGCATCGAACATCTCATACCCACTCTACAACCACCCCATCGCATATATTCTCACAATGTCCGACACTGGCAGACAATCTCTCTCCGACAAGGCCGGCGCAAAGCTGAAGGTCCGTGTCCGTTTTCTGCCGCGGCCGTAGATTATTCTCATCCTTGGCCTCTGCTAGCCCGACTCTGAGAAGTCTACGACTGAGCACGTCGGCGACATGTTCAAGGGCAAGGCCGACTCGGCGGGGTCCACCGCTCAGCCCCAGGTGTGTTGCTCGCCTATTCCTCTTGTCCGTGCACTTGCTCAATGTTGTCTAGAGCGAGAAGTCGTACACTCAACAAGTTGGCGACGCCGTGAGCGGCAACTCCAACAACGATGAGGTCAGTTGCCACGATCGATGATGATCCCCTTGGCGTCTGGTCCTGACATTGTTTGATAGTCGTCGCTGGCACAGAAAGCCAAGAACGCCGTGGGCATGGGCAACAACTAGGTCGCCGTGTCGTGCCGTAGCGTGTACCGTTAGCTGTTGTTTGTTGTTGTATGATAGCATTGGGCGGACGCTTGGGTTGTAGTTTACATTCACCAATCAATACATGGTCTTGATACACTGGACATTCGTGTGCACGCTCGTCGTCGTCCTTGTGACCTGGCTCGAGCACATGTCGGAGGACGGCGCAGGTGAGTCAGTATGCTGACGAGGCCGCGTACCTGAAGGGGGGACACTGGTCTGCGGCTTGGACAGACTTGCTCGTCACTGCTGCCCTCTCTTCGCATCCACACCCGCCTGCAAGTCTTCTTCAGTGTCCCGTGTGGTCAAATAAGCCTGCGGAGCGGTCGGTAGGCCTTCTGATCGACCTCGTCTGTGGTCAATTTCACCCGCATGCGCTCGCCCCCAACCGTCAGCGGTATCTCGGTCTCCGTCTTTGAAACGCCGCAATGTGCAGCCAGTAGTGAGCCTTTGGTATTTGGGTTCTCCTTTGTGGAAAAGTGTTGATTTCTCCCAACCAGCTTCTCCGGATCTATGCCATGACATCCGCAGCCTTCCCGTAATGATAGCCCTAGATGGTCTTCGTATAAAAGCACCCTCCCGCCAGGGGCTCTCACCATTGTTCCTCCGTACTACTCTCACGTCCAGTGCTCTCTGACGAGTCCCTCCCTAACCCCCAGTTTACACTCGAAGTGATATCGGACCTGTCCTCTGCGTTCAATGGTGTCCCTCTCGCTTTCCACGTCGATGTTCGCATGGTGTGCCCTCGGCACATCTGTGCTCCTCTACGCCGCCTGGAAGGCCGCCGCGCTCGTCGCGCACGCACGCACGTCGCCCCTCCGCCACATTCCTGGCCCGCGCAGCGTCAGCTGGCTCTATGGCAACCTCACCCAGATCGCGCGCGGGGACCCGACCGTCCTGCGCGAGGATTGGGTGGATGCGCATGGGCCGACGATAAAGTACAAGGGGCTGTTCAACGTGAGCTTCGGCCATTTTCGTCCTCGCTGGGTACTCATGGCCATTGCGACAGCGCGATATAGTGTACACCGTTGATCCCCGTGCATTAAACCACATCCTTAGCCACTCGACCGACTACCCGAAGCCGGAGCTCGTGCGGTTCTCCTTGTCTCAGTTCTTGGGTGAAGGTATGCACTATGATCTACGCCCGCGGTGCGTCTCGGCCGCTGACTTGCTCGGTCGCGAAGGCCTCTTGTTTGTAGAGAGTGAGTGATGTGCTTAGCTTGCAAAATCCATACCCGAGATGACGTCTACCTCTCCTAGATGATCAGCACCGCCAGCAGGTAGGTTGGGACGCACAGTTTCTGCATATATGCGTGCCTAACGGATGTCTAATATTGTCTGTCACAGAGGAGGATCATGGTATAATTCTTCTGGTTGTCTTAGCACGGCCAGACTAACTTCGTGATCTATTCGTAGAATCCTGCATTCGGACCCGCTCAGATTAGGGAGCTTGCCGAGATCTTTTTCGAGAAAGCTATCCAGGTAAATGGTCAACACTCCAGATTCAGAGCATATGACTCAGCTTTCCTTCCAGCTGCGCGACGCGTGGAGCCACGAGATCGCAAAGCACAGCGAGCCTGCAAAGATCGAGGTGCTCGGCTGGCTCACCAAGACGACGCTCGACGTGATCGGTCTCGCTGGTGCGTTCGCCAATGTGACTCGCGCGCGCCCGACGCTGACACTGGGGCCGCCGCCGTTCATGTCGCCGTCTAGGGTTTGACTACGACTTCGACACGCTCAACATCAACGGCAAGCCAAACGAGCTGTACCAGGCGTTCCAGGTCATCTTCGGCAAGGCCGCCCTGCGCCCGTCGGTGATCCCTATGCTCAAGTACCTCTTCCCCCCACTACGGGTCATCGTACGTCGCTCATCGCTGAGCTTCCTATCCCGACTCTGAAATTGAAATATGAACGGACGCGCGTGCAGCCGGACATAGGCCAGCGGCGCATCGCCAGGGCGCGGGCGGTGATGGACCGCATTGCGCTGAAGCTCGTGCGCGAGAAGAAGGCGGACATCGCAAGCGCAGCGGGCGCGGACAAGGCAGGGACGAAGCCCGCGCGCCTGCAGAGCCGCGACCTGCTCACGCTGTTGCTCAAAGCGAACGTCGGCGCGGACATCCCCGAGAGCCAGCGGCTGTCGGATAGCGACGTGATCGCTCGTGAGTGTGTTTCCGTTCCGCGGGGGGATGTGTGCTCACCGCGGGGCGTGGCGCAGAGATCCCGACGTGAGCGTCTTCCCCCTGCTTGCATGAGGCACCGCTCACGCGCCCTGCCGTCGCAGATTCCTCGTCGCAGGCCACGAGACGACGAGCAACGCGACGTCATGGGGGCTTTATGCACTCGCGCTCGCGCCTGCGGTGCAGAGCAAGCTGCGAGAGGAGCTGTGGGCCGTGCCGACGGACAGTCCAAGCATGGACGAGCTGCAGGCGCTGCCGCTGCTCGACGCAGTCGTGCGCGAGACGCTGCGCCTGCACGCACCGGTCCCGTTCACTGTGCGCGTGGCGGTGCGGGACGACGTGATTCCGCTCGGGACACCATACACGGACTTGCGGGGGCAGGTGCACGACAGCATCAGGTGCGTGTGCGCTGTGCGCCGACTTTGCGGGCGAGGGACGCGCTTGTGCTGACCGTGTTCGCGGGTGATGCGTTCGCAACTCGGTGGGGGTAGGGTGCCGAAGGGTACACTGTTTGATATCCCGATCCTCGCAATGAACCGGTCGAAGACGCTGTGGGGAGAGGATGCGTTTGAGTTCAGGCGAGTGGCCGGCTGTGCTGGCCGTCCGACCGTGTGAGCTGACGGTGTATGTCCCGCGCCCACCTGGCAGGCCCGAGCGGTGGGACGCGATGCCCGAGGCAGCGCAGAGCATCCCAGGCGTGTGGGGGAACATGATGACGTTCCTCGGCGGCCCGCGCTCGTGCATCGGCTTCCGCTTCACGCTCATCGAGTGAGTGCTTGCCTACTGCGCACGCGTGTAGTGCATCTCACCCAGGCACACCGCAGGATGAAGGCGATCATGTTTACCCTGCTGCGCGCGTTCGAATTCGAGCTGGCCCTCCCCGCGGACGAGATCGTCCGCCAGACGGCGGACATCCAGCGCCCGATTGTGAAGAGCGAGGCGGACAAGGGTGGGCAACTGCCAATGCTCGTCAGGCCGCATGTGCGCGTATGAGTACTGGGCTTCACCGCGCGATCCCCAAGTGCGTATATGACAATGTAAAATATACTTTGCTTTGCTTTCTGTGCCAACGATGAGAACGATCGGCGCGATCCTGGAGTGTTGTTGCACTGCGTCATTGATCGATCTACCGCTGGTAATCACCGACCTCGCACGAACTCTCAAGTTCTATCGACGCAATGCTACGTCAATACAATCGCCATGTAAAGGCTACACAAGATTGCGCGGTGTGTTGGTAAAGATACATTTTATGCTGATAAAATCTACTCGTGTCGTCTAGTATCGCCTGCCGAAAGGGTCCAAGACCGGCCTGCTATACAACGGCTGCGCGCCGCGCATAGCGAGAAACCACATCAGTCCGTGCCCAGCAGCAGGGAGAGGCGAGAGCACGTACCAAAGGCGCGGGCTTGTTCTGTAGGATCTCCTCGATCTTCTCGAGCACGGCGGGCGTCAGCTTGGGGATGACCTCGAGTGCCTTGAGGTTCTCGACGACCTGTTCGGGGCGCGACGCGCCGAGGATGACGGTGCTCGTGTTCGGGTTCACGGCGATCCACGCGAGCGCGAGGTGGGCGACCTTGCAGCCGAGCTCTGTTGGTGCGCGTCAGCAAGCGGAGTGCGCGCGGCGCGATCGTCGGACTGACCTTGCTCGGCAAAGTCGGACAGCGCACGGATTTTGTCAAGCTTCTTCTTGCCATCCTCCTCGGTCAGGCTGTTGAGCGTGTCCTTGAAGAAGTCTTTGTGGTCCGCGAAGCGCGAGCCCTCGGGAATGCCGTTGTTGTACTGCAGCGACAACGTCAGTGAGCGGGCGGCGGCATGCCAGCAAGGGGCGTTATGGCACACCTTTCCTGTGAGCAGACCGCTGGCGAGTGCAGACCAGACGGTTGTGCCGATCTGGTACTTGCTGTAGAGAGGTCTGTGGTCCGATGGACACAGGTCAGCTGGTGCCGATCAGAATGGCACGAGGCGGTGGCTTACGCGTATTCCTTCTCTGGCCGCTCGCGGTGGAACATGCTATCATGCATCGTCAGAAATCAAGAGCCGAGGTACAATAATGATTGTCGGCACGCACTGGTGCTGGCATTGTTCAGCAATTGGCCCCTGCAGACCCAGCTTGTCAGCGACGTCTGTCAGACGCGAGATCAGCTAAATGCTGGGTGCAACCAAGGCGTCTGGTACATACGGTAAGCTTCCTCGATCTCTCGCGCCGACCACTCGGACGTTGCCCAGTGATATGCCTACGCGACGGCTGTGAGCAACGAGGCTTGTACACATGTCGAGGGACATACCCAGCCCTGGTCAATGACCCAGTTGAACGCACGGACGGTTTCCTCCATCGGAACTGTGTGCAGTGTCAGAGAGCGGATTTTCGCCGCGGAGATAGCGGAGCCGTACCGGTGGAGTCGGGACGGTGCGCAAAGAGCACATCGACGTAGTCCAGCCCGAGACGCTCCAGGGAGGCCTTGGTGCCTTCGATGATGCTGGTGCATGTCATTCGTCAGCGTTCCGTGTGCCCATCGGTGGACCAAACTTACTGTTTCCGCGAGAGACCCGTGTCGTTGGGGCTGATCTTGCGCCAGCCGAAGAAGACTTTGGTGGTGATGATGAGGTCGGTGCGGCGGAGACCGAGCTCCCTGATCACGCGGCCCCTGCAATACTGTGAGCGCATGTAGGCAGGCCGGGCCACAGACGGCGTACATCTCGATCTCGGAGTTGCCGGAGGCGTACCCCTCGGCGGTGTCGAACCTGCACATGAATACATGCGTGAGCAAACGGCGACACGGAGCGAGAACGCGGGCGGCATACATGTTTATGCCATTGTCGAAGGCGACTTTGATGATTTCCTGGGGTGGAGACGCTGAGACGCTGCATGGTTGGGCTAGAAAAGTAGGCGCACCTTGACGGGATCGCCGACGACGGTTCCGCCGAGCGTCAGCCCTAATCGATAGTCAAATCAGGTTCTCATGACAGTGACGTGTGCATACATCCACCGAGAGAGAAGACGGGGACTCGCAGACCACTGGGGCCAAGGCGTCGGAAGGGCATGCCCTTCGCGTCGTACTCGAGCTTGACGGTCGACATTCTGTGGTGCGTTGTGAGACGGAAAGTGGCTGGGGTGCGTGGAGGAGCGTCGGAATCGTGTGAAGAGTATTTTGGTCGTGGGGAGCTGGGCTTTTATACGCGAGGGCTGATCCATGCGAGCGAGCTTGCGTCACCGAGAGCGAGTTATCGATAGCCTACGGGATACCGACTCATCAGTCAGCACTGGTCTCTGCTGACTGAACCGTGGGCGTCTTCACGGTCTTTGCGCGTGGAGCGGGGAGCGATGAGCGTCCGCCCATCGTACCGAACTCAATATGCGATGTGGTGTGCCGTCCCAGCGGCACAAGATAACACAGTCTGACAACTTGAAGCACGCGCAGCGAGCGCACCTATGGTGGGACTGGGGGATCAATGTCGATCAATTTTGAGGGAGACAAGCCATCTGATGACTCACCCTCAGGTTTCACTCGAATGTATATGAAAATTTTCGCACTTTTCCACGCAAGCATGAAATCAATACTGTGCGAATGTAAAGCGACGAGGGGGAACTCACAATCGATGTGCCCTCGTGAGGCGAATCGTGGGACGCTGCAGCTGAGCCGACGGAGTCAGAACTTGCATCCGAGGACAAAGTAGTCTCTTCGCAAGTCCATCATGTGACCGCGTCCGCGGCGCATCGGGCACCCAGCACCACCGCGATAGAGCCGTCAAACGAAGCCAGGACCAGTCGACGACGCAGAAACGAAGATGTATTCAAGGAGTTGGCTGCATACACATCAAGGGGACAACATACAACACACTAGAGATCGCCGCAAGACACAAGCAGAAGCAGCACGCACAGATATTACAGCACCATCATCCTAGATCACACAAACAAGCGTCGTCACGGTTCACGACACGAAGAGCGTCGCAGAGATCGACATCGTCGACGTCGACGGCGAGGGACGGTGGAACACCGGCACGCTGGCGGGCAAGCGGCGGTCAGCTCAGAGACTCACGCAGAACCGGCAGGCTCACGTCGACGGCGTCGGGGTGCTCCGGTGCATTGGCGAGCGCGGGTCCTGTGCGCCTTCGTACACCAGATTCGACGCATGCATCGGCTGCATCAGCCCCAAGCCTAGTGGGCTCAGAGGCGCCGCACGGCGGGGGGTATTGAGCGTCGTTCGGGAGACGTGCTGGGGAGACGAAACTGCAGTCGACGGCGGGGCAATCGGGCGCTGGCACGACCCGCACGTCGCTGGGGCCGGTGCGTGGCATTGACAGTAGTTGTCGTGGCCCTCGCTGTGTGAGCGGGCCAAGCTACGATTCATGGTGCTTGTTGTCGGCGGGGGAGTGGCGCGCGGCGTCGACATACTGCTATGGGTGACGCGTGGGGTTGATGTTGCGCTATGAGGAGGGGTGGCGCGCGGAGTTGGGGGCGTGCTATTGTGCATCTGCAGCGCGGTCTGGACACTCTGGCTGGCGTAGACCTTTCTGCGCCGAGGGCGGTCAGAGCCCCGACCAGAAGACGGGGTTGAGGCCGAACTCGGCGCTGAAGGCGTTCGGGCGCTGCATGCAGGGGAGCTGGCGGTACTGATGTAGAGACTAGAGAGATCCACTTCGGGGGATTCAGGTTCACCATACGTGATATTCGTCTCGATGGAGGCGACACTCTCCGTGTCGCTTCCACCGCTGGACGTCCGGGATGATGATAGGGGTAGAGTCTCACTCCGCCTAGAAGTGGTCCTAGGCGGACTTCTGGGAGAACGCACCGACTGTTGGGAGACGTCAGGTTCTATCACTGTCACACCTGTGGGATACGACGAAGAGCTGCGCAGATCGGTAGCGGGGGACCACAGTCCAGTGCGTGAAGGGGAGCCACGGCTCATATAGGGCTGCGCAGGAAGGTATACGTTGCGGCGGGGCGACACAACGACGTCGACCGCTGTGGCGCTGGCAGACTGAGATTGGGAGGGGCTGCCGTTGGAAATGGGGTGTCGCGCACGGTCGCTGACCGAAGACCTGACATGTGCTCGTACAGGAATAGGGCGTGGAGAGTTCCTGGGAGATAGAAAACTGCATGGGGAGCCTGGTGCCGAGTGCGACGCGGGTGGGCGGGCAGTGCCTACGCTGTCTCTGGAGCGGGAACGGCGGGGAGGGCGGCGGGGAGAAGGCGTATCATGCGGGAGGCGACGCTCGTCGCGCGCTGGAGACCATCTAGGGGTGGCGGGAAGCCGAGGGGGGTTGTCGGTGAGCACCGCCTTGACCCTGCCGCGGTGCTGGGCGACGTAGTATGCCTCTTCAGCCTCGACGCGGGTGGGATAGCCCTTGTAGATGCATCC